ATTCAGGATCTTGAACTAGTATGCATTTTCAAAACTACATTTTGTAGATCACTTTTGATAATTTTTTTTTAGTTGCCTGTAGAATGGAATAGCCTAAGATTTCATTCTCTTGGGACAGAGGCATTTGGAAAAATTCTTGTGGCAAAGTTTCTCTCTTATGGTATGGCCTACATCTGAAGTTTAACCTACCAATTTGCAGTGTCCTATTATAAAAATGTATGCTGATATGTTGGCTTAGTTCCAATATTTTACACAATATCTGTGTATGAAGAAAGGCTGTTTCATAATATCCTTGCATATTCAACATGCACCTACTTTTGACTTGCATAGTAAAAATTAGATTCTGATTTTTGATTCTTTAAAAATTAAGAAAATACAAAGAATATAATGGATTTACCCATATTTTTTTTTTTAATCAAAATTATAAGTTATCCTTTGTTGTATGGTAACTGAGTTAGTTATAAAGTAAGAAAAAATCTTTTATATTTGAATAAACGAATTTTTATTTTCTGTCTTATGCTTACAGACAGATGCAAATTAGAATATTGCTGAATAGAAAGAAAAAGTAGGATTAAAGTCAACTTAATGCTTTCCATTGATTGGCTAAGCTAAGAGTTTTAATGAAAGACATTTCATTCTGCACATGTCTAAGACACCACCTTAAAGGTATCTGGCAGGAATAATTCAAGAAATCAGCAGGGTCTGCTACTATTTCAAATTGCTGTGGCAGAGCCACGAGTAAGGAACGTGTGTCCTGTGTTGGCTGCATTACAACCACTGGGCATCCAAAACGTGCAGGTTATGCAAACCATATGTCCAGTGAGTAGGGAGAAAAAAAAAAAAATATCAGTTATGAAAGTGGTAGGCGAAAGTATTCTCTTTATAAGACCAGTTCTCTTTATAAGACCAGATCAGATTGGGGTACATAGAGGCTGGACCCTAAATCCGCCTTCAGGCAGTAACTCAAATCTGGTTGGCTTTCATGAGGAAAGATCAATGCCAGTAAGCGCGTGCTGCTATTTCAGATAACACAGCTCACGCTCTTCTTTTTAAAATTCTTTTTAGGGTAGTCCAGGTCCCCCTGGTAACGCAGGGCCTGCAGGCAAGGATGGGCCTCCTGGACCCCCTGGTAGTGCCGGTTCTCCTGGCAGTCCAGGACCTGCTGGAACAAGAGGTGAGCCTGGCTCACCAGGTGAAAAAGGGCCACCAGGTGCACGAGGAGAAAGGGTAAGTACACATCCAGCCAGGGACTGTTACACCAATAGACAGGGATTATGTCTGTCAAGAATAAGAAGCCACCTATTGAATGTTGAAGATGCTCAGCATTGACTGATCTGACCTTTTCTTCAACAGGGGGCACCAGGTGAACCAGGTCCTCAAGGCATTGTTGGTGGCCGGGGTGGCACGGGTTTGCCAGGTCTGCGTGGCCCGAGTGGTCCACCTGGGATGGCAGGTGCCAAGGTGAGAGAGCATTCACTGCAGCAATAGCCTCAACGCTAACACAGGGACTGTAATCCAGCTGCTGAAAATAGCTTAGAGATACAGAAAGTAGTGAACATGTTGTATTTTTTTTAACGCTTTTTAGTCCAGAGACTACAGAATTTAGTTATGTGTGTCTACACTTGTAAGATCAGGCTTTAAAATGTCCACTAAGCAGCAGCTGTGGGATGTGAGGTTGTCTTAAGGAGGGTCATGGGCTTTAAACTCTCCTTGAGACAAGATCTGAGTCATAGTCTCACCTACCGCAAGTTGTTTATCTTTGCTTAATTCTCAATATTTTATCTTGCTTAAATGTTATGACCCAAACAGAAAAACACTTTCACCTCCCTCCAGGGAAGTGGTGTGAGGCGTGGTTTGTATTTTATCACTAATATAGTGATAGATCAGCATATTTTTTTTGTTAACTGCTTTGTCTATTGTTTTTGGGCATACGAAAAGAGACATGCTCATTTATTATTTCTTAGTTTACAAAACAAGAAGGAACATTCCTTGGGTTCAATGGCCTTGCATGAATATTACCAGCAATGAAAAGAAACCAGTTTGGCCAAGTTTTTATCTTTGTTATTTGGAGAATTCATAATCACCAAAGTCACACTGGCCCTTCACTTTATTAGGCCTCCTTCATAATCACTGTGTATTTAATTAAAGATGTACAATACGATGGTATTTCATAAGTACGTTATCTATTTGCAATGAAATCCTTTCCCTTTTTCTTCAGGGTGAAGATGGTAAACCAGGCGTCAATGGCATCCCAGGGGAACGCGGTGCTCCTGGTCCACAAGGACCGATTGGACAAAGAGGCTTACCTGGAGAGCCTGGCAGAGATGTGAGTGGATGTATTAGACCTTCCTGCTAGCTTGCGAGTTACAAACGGGAGACTCCTCTGGGAATAAATACGCGTTAAGGTTCACAAAGCATCCTTCAAGTGCCTGATGCACAGGGACCTGGGCAGGTGACGTTCTCACATAAGGTGGCGTAGCCTGCTGTCTCTGCTATACCTTTTGCTACCTGTAGACCACATCTCTGTCTCACTTGGAACTGAACAAGAGACTGCACTGCCTGTACGCCTACAAAATAACGCAGGTCTTGCAGGTCTTTTATGGGCCTCTCCACCTCCAGGAACTCGTCCTTCTTGAAAACTTCCTCTTTCTTTGATGAGCACTATTTAAGCTTACTGGAAAACAAGCTGTCTATTCAGCATCCAGTTTATGAACAAACTGTACCACTGTCTTTTCCAGGGTAACCCTGGCTCAGATGGCTTGCCTGGACGTGATGGATCCCCAGGAGGCAAAGTAAGGCATCACCAATATCTTTAGACTGCCAAATAAATGTTATGTAGAGATAATATACATGGTTCCATGTATGTAACTTGTTCCTTGAACCTCTTATGCTCCGCTGAATATACTCTTTACATTGTAGGTCTGTAAAACATTAAATTAATTATCCTGCCAACTGTTACTATCTGCAGGGTGACCGTGGTGAAAATGGCTCCCCTGGCCCTCCAGGACCTCCTGGTCACCCTGGACCTGCAGGTACCAGTGGTGCACCTGGAAAAGCTGGTGAAAGAGGATTTCAGGTAAGACCAAAATAAATAGCTTACTGCTTATTTACCTACCTTTCCTGTGCAAAGTTCATTTAATGCAGCAATAAAGTAGAAGTTTGGAACAGTTATACATTTGTTACTGTTATAGTGTCTTGGCATTGAGGACCTCTCTTTTATAAGAATATCAAGGGGAAAGACATCACTGTTTATGTTCTGATAACTGTACATAAATTAAGTTCAAAATTCACATACTGCTTAGGATGCCAAAAAGCGCATCACCCCACCAAGGTCCTATCTTCATTTCCATCCCATCTGGTCCTCATGCAGCACAAACGACATTATTTAAACTAAGGGAGTAACTTCGAAAGTCTTCAAGTTTTTCTTCTGAGAAGTGCTGACACCAGCACATGAACCAGGGGTCTAGCGCATGTGGTATGTGTGCCTACAAGCAGCTAATTAAGACTAACATTGACAGGAAAAGGAACTGAATTCTTGCTGATTATTTTGTGTGTGTGTGGAGCTCCCCCTTGTTTCCAAACAGCTGCTGGCTTTGAACATACTGTGTATCTGGAAGTAAAAAGGCGGTCTAGTCAACTCCAAGTGATGCATACCATCTTATTCTTATTGTGTCACAGGGTCCACCTGGCCCTCCTGGCTCTGCTGGTCCTGCTGGTGCTCGTGGTCCTGCTGTAAGTCATATTTAAAGTATTTGTGATATCATACATTCACTATTTCCTGTTATTTGGGCATTTCTCTTATTTCTTTATATATTCCTTTTATTGCAAATCTACTCTTACAGGGTCCCCAAGGTCCTCGTGGTGATAAAGGTGAAACTGGTGAACGAGGCAGCACCGGTATAAAGGGTCATAGAGGATTTCCTGGTACACCTGGTCTCCCTGGTCCTCCTGTGAGTATTTTGCATTGGATTGGTAAACATGCATTACCACCCTGAACAGTTCTTAATAGCTAAAAGAATTGAAAGGTAATAGGCATGCCCTAGGTGTTTATGACAAGTAAAAATTTATAAAGGGATTTATACTGAAAAGAACTATTTAATAGTACTTATGATACAAGTGAGAATCAAGAAACCAAAACTCACTCAATTAATCTATTATGATGGCAAAAAATATGGAAGTGTTAACTATGAATGCCATCAATATCAACCTCCTTAACAACACAGTATAATCTGTTGTCTAATGTATAGCATGAGCAAAAAAAAAAATCTGATAAATTCTCATTTACACTATGACAGTGAGGTGATCAATGATTTTTGAACATATGCCTTAGTTCTTTGTGCTGCATAAATAGAGCAAATTTTTAAATGTATTTGAAAACATGAGTGTTTGTCACATTATTTAAATACTGGTAATACAATTAAAAATGCAGCATTTTGAGCATATAGCTATGTATTCTTATGAATACAAGATTTCATCCAAAGCTCATTGATGTTGGTTGGCTTTCTTTTTGGATATCACATCACTAACATTCTTTCATACAGAGAACATTCAATATTTTTTTCTAGTTAAAGAATGGCAACCGGTCTGTCTCATATCGGACATAATCCTTTTATAAGGATGTGTTTCAGATAATCTTAAAGATGTTTTCAATGTCTTTATTGAAGGTACATCCAGCTAGGTGCAAAATATTATTGGGAGGTGTATGACTTACTTTTATCTTCTTCATAGGGTCCCCTGGGTCCACAAGGTGCAATTGGAAGTCCAGGAGCTTCAGGTGCAAGGGTAAGAAAAACTCCTTGCTTAGCATAACTGGAAGGAAGATTCAGACGGTGTGGTTAAATAAATAAATTTGCCATCTGAATAGGCAATAGCTGAAGAAAGAGAAAACACCTGATAAATTGTACAGACATGTTTGAAATATCTCACAAAGTATTTCTGAATTTAACATTATCTGGTAAACTATTTTGACCATATTATTTGTGTTCAACATTGTTCTAGGGTCCCCCAGGACCAGCTGGGCCACCTGGAAAAGATGGTACAAGTGGCTATCCAGGTCCAATCGGTCCTCCTGGCCCCCGTGGTAACAGAGGTGAAAGTGGCCCTGCAGTAAGTAAATTGTGCACACTCAAAGAAATAAATCTTTAGGGATTATCCATGAAACATAGGGCTCTCTCCTATTTAAATATCTCCTTCAGAAAATTTTGTATTTCACGGACAGTTTGTGGTAGGAGGTATCTAGCTATCAAGGCTAAATCCAAAAACTACGGATCATTTGTAGTTCCGTGTAACTATTGATGCGCTGGCCGTTGTGTTAGTCTCAGATAATCACTGAGTTTTCTGCATACAATGGGAAGGCAGGATCTCCTCCTCACTTCAGAGCACAGACTCCCTTTGTGTCTTGGAAGCTATGAAATGGGCTTCCTGGACTCCAGAGAGGCCAGTGCTGCAGAGGTCACTAGCATAGTCACTTCTCCTAAAGCCAGGAAACGGTTATTCTCTGGATTTTCGTGGAAAGCATTCCTTCTCCTTCTCAAAGCCGAGCCAGAAGAAGGACAGTCACAGCTTCACAAAATTAGGAAAAGAAAATTCCGATTTTAGGAAAATAAAGGCCTGGAAAGTCTAAGAGATGTTTATACATAGCAAGTGCCATTATTTAATGAACAAGTAAATTAAATGTTTACGATTAGGTCCCACACAGACTTTTAGTTTTAACCTGTGATCTCTACTCAGCGCTATGTTCACTATTTTCTTAGGGTCCACCAGGCCAGCCTGGTCTTCCTGGTCCTTCTGGTCCTCCTGGTCCATGTTGTGGTGGTGCGGCTGCCCTGGGTGCTGGTGAAAAAGGTCCAGTGGGCTATGGGTATGAATATCGAGATGAGCCAAAAGAAAATGATATCAATCTGGGTGACATCATATCTTCAATGAAATCAATTAACAACCAGATTGAAAACATCATTAGTCCTGATGGGTCACAGAAGAATCCAGCTCGTAACTGCAGAGATCTGAAATTCTGCCATCCTGAGCTCAAGAGTGGTATGTTAGGTTTTTATTTTCACCAATGGTAGCAGATATTCATTTTTATTTTGGGGGTTTTGGTTTTGGGTTTTTATGAAGCTATGAAATGGATTTCCTAGACTCCTCTAGAGAGGCCAGCGCTGCAAAGGTCACTAGCATAGCAATTGTCCTTGAGTGTTTAAATGCAGAGATCTGCTACAAAAATTATATTTTGTTTTTTAAAGATATGTCATGATAAAGATGATAAATGTAGTAATAATTTTAAACTTTAATTTACTATGCAGTATATACACTGACTTCAACTCCAGTCCTTACATGCTTATAAATGAATGTCTGTTTACATAATTTTATGGAAAAAACCCATGACAACTATAAGTTCTGTACTTATTTCAAATGTCACTCATATCACAGTATTCACATGAACTCAGTACATTTTGTATCATGTTTTCTGTGGCATCTCTTCTGTCAAAATTAATGTGTCCTAGTTTGGCTCAGGAACGTGGAATAGAAATAAGCTTCACCATCATGCAGTCAGATTCTTCTCCAAATACATTAAAGCCCCTTAACATTTTTATTTTTTTTTTATCTCTAGGACAGTACTGGATTGATCCTAACCAAGGCTGCAAGATGGACGCTATTAAAGTATACTGTAATATGGAAACTGGTGAGACATGCCTCAATGCTAACCCCAGCACCGTGCCGAGGAAAAACTGGTGGACCAGCGAAAGCAGTGGAAAGAAACACGTTTGGTTTGGAGAATCTATGAATGGAGGCTTCCAGGTAAGAAATTACCACAGTTAACAGCTCAAAAGGTAGTACACACATTGTGCCTGCATACCTCACAATGTTCTAAAAAAAAAAATCCTGAAATTAAACTAAGCTAGACATTTAGTGGGTGAAACAATAACTACATGGACTGTCCCTAGACACAATTAAACAGAAACTGTTGCTTATGTGTTGTACCCTGCAGTTCAGTTACGGAGATCCTGAGCTTCCAGAGGATGTCTCAGAAGTTCAGCTGGCCTTCCTCCGCATCCTCTCCAGCCGTGCCTCCCAGAACATCACCTACCACTGCAAGAACAGCATCGCCTACATGGATCAAGCCAGTGGAAATGTTAAAAAAGCTCTGAAACTGATGAGCTCTATGGAAAGTGAGATCAAGGCTGAAGGAAACAGCAAATTCACATATGCTGTTCTGGAAGATGGCTGTACTGTAAGTAAACAAGACTTTAGTATGGCAGTTTAGTCCTCTAGAGGGAATTATTTATTAGACCCGTGAGAAAGGAAGAGAGCGCTTTGCATGACCTGGGTAAGGAAAGCACACAGCTGCACCTAAGCGGGGAAACGGAGATTCTGTACATCAGAGGTGCACTCCCATTTCAATCTGTGCTTTACAGGTATCGCCTTGCTTTAGAGTCCAAGTCAGTGAAGTCAGTGACGAAGTTTTGATCCATCCCATGTCAACTCTGAAACTAAGAGTAGTAGGAATCGTCTTAGTCATGCAAAAAAAAATCAAGGCTAGCTGATTCAAGCCATGGGCTATGATTACGGGAAGCGGCAAACACAGTCATTTTGCAGATGCAACATTGATTGCTTCACTGTGCCGTGCTCACTGCAGCAGAAAGCACGGGAGAGAAGCAGTAACATCGATGAGCAGCATGCTGGTTTATGAGCATCTGCAGCCTTTTCAGTGACAAATACAAAACACCGTAACACCAAAAGCACAACAAACACTGACATATATGGCAAACCTGCTGTTT